AGTCTGAGAGATATCCCAGCCTTCAATAGCCACCAGACATCCAGGTATTAGCGTGTGAAGGTCAGGGTACAGCATCTAGCTTCATAGTGACTCTGGTGACAGCAGCCCGCTGGGCTCAGGTCTCCAGGTGTCCTCATGAGATGAAGTCTCCCTGGTTTCAGTCCAGCCATGGACCCTGGATCACTCATGTCCCCCTTCAGAGCTTTCTGCCCAAGGATAAGAAGGCTGATCACTAATAGGAAGGAGATTTTGACCAGCAAAGATAGATGACTGCTGTGTCCAGAATCACACCTACATTCTCTGTCTTCATTCACAGATTCCCATTCACCAAAGAATACTATGGATGGATCTTAAACTTCTGTATCATGAAAATGTATCCCTACCCTGTAACATTCTTTGCCTGTTATCATTTTCCAGGTAGGCCATGACCCACTGTGAGCTCTCCATCCTGCAACCACACAAGGGGACTGAATCTTGATGACATTGCTGCCCTCTTGGTCTAGTGAGGAGGAATACAGAATCGGACTAGACACAGCAGGTGGACAGAATCCAATGAGAGCCTAGTGCTCTGGCCTTGGAAGACCCAGCTGGTCCTAGAGCCCAAGAGACACCAACAAAAGGAGTCTGTGGAGTATGGTTGGGCCAAGCCATGGAAAGAAAGATTTTCTTTTTGAACAAATGTACATATACATATAAGTATATTTAATTATTGTCTGTATGTAAATATAAAAAGGATTTTCCATTTAACAAGACAGCTGTGGGAAAATCTTATAGTGATCAAGGTCACCCCTTGAAACATTTTCACCTGTACTGTCCCTACCCACATTCTTCCCTTACTCTTTTTATTTTTGTAGGATACATATTGGAATCTAGCTGACACTTGCGTTTTTCTTGAGGGGTCGGGTAAAAGGTACAGGGACTATCAAAGTTCCCAGGATTAATTTTAAAATAATGTGTAATCTACCTATTTTGATTGGCTTTGAAAGAATAATTTATTTGGGTATCAGTATCAGCTATAAGTATGTACTTCTCGTTTATTTTGAAATTCATTACAGAATTAAAATTTTAGTTTGCTGAAAACATGTATCTCTTCTTCAACTTATCATAGGGCCCATTCTCTGGATAAATGCTCTCTGTCCTGAAAGTTGATGGCATGCCTTATATAATAACAACCACAATCCATAATGGGACTTACCGTTGCTGCTCAGCTGATCTTGCAGTAGACACACACTGCTGTGCTATCTGCTATTGCACAGACCAGAAAACACGATAGAGCCTCAGGAGCACTTCAGGTTGGAGTGGTGAATGCACACTTCTATCCCAGCACTGATCCTTTTAAATATTAAATGTTATGAAATTCCATGAGCTACAGCATTCCATCCATGAACTGATACCTTAACATCTCCCACATATAAAGAGGAAACACTAATGTCTGTGTTTGCATTATAATATCTAATGTTCATTAGGGCACAGAGCAGAGAAGGTCCAGTGAGTTAGGAAATACAGGGCTCAGAAGTTGTCTGAGCTGGGCAGGACAGAGAAGGGTTACCACAGCTGGAGAAGGCTCCTGGGGTTTGCTAAGGCTGGGCCTCAGCCCCCACCCCTCCCTCAGTGACATCCTCAGCTGGGGCAGGAAGGTTTGGGTAGAGAAAGCCAGTCCCTGTGCAGGGCTGTGCAAGCTGCTGGCACACAGATACAGCGCGGAGTCCCTCAGCTCCAAGGCGCTCATGTTCAGCTCAGAGTGATAGTCACTGAACTGCCGAGCTGAGAAGCGCTCAGGGATGCTTCCTTTCTCTCTCTCTGACTCTCGATAATAAGAAATGAGGAGCTGGAGGCTCTTGTCCTCGGCCTGCTGGTACCAGTACACAGTATTATGTCCAGAGTCAGGAGAGCACTGCAGAATGGCCTTTCCTCCCTTGGCTTTGATCAGGTGTCTGGGGGACTGGAGGACCCCAGCATGCACCACACCTAGGCAGGAAGAGACAGCAATGAAGGCCTAGCCCTGGAGGGCATAGGATGCTCCAGCAACCAGGCTCTGCCCCACCAGTGCCCCTGACTCACCTGTTCCCAGGAGACACAGGACAACACCACAGAAGAGCCTGGGACCTGGGGCAGAGTCCAGGGGAGCAGCCCCAGGCATCATCTCCCTACTGAGGTCACAGGTCTGAGAAAGAGAGAGAGGGGTGTGGGGAGACAGAGACACAGAGAAACAGAGAGAGAAAGAGATGGGGGAGGATTCTCAGCTCCTGGTTCAGCACTCCCTCTGTTTATCTAAACACTTCCCAGCCTGGGACCACAAGCCAAGGCTGAACCCACACTCTCCCAGTCAGGTAGCAGCTGGCTCAGTGGGCCCACACTGCCCCCTGGTGATCAGCTGCTCATTACTGGAATGTCACTCTACTGCCTGAGCCAGGAGCTGGCCCCAGGGTCCTCCAGACCCCAGGACAGCCCCAGAAGCCTGGAGGATTGTCTCTTGCAATCTCAGCTCTTGTCTGTAAACATGAGGGAGGTGTGCAACAGACCTTCTCTTCTAAAATGAGAAGAAAAGTCCTTCCTTCCTTCAGATATTGTGGTAAGCATGGAGAAGCCCAACATTTATTACATGCCAGGTGACATCAGTATGTTGTGACCTAGGCAAGTCATTGTCTTTGACCCTTGGTGATGCCCAGAAGGGAAGCACGATGGATTCCCTCAGTCAACAAGGCTTCTGCATGGCTGCCGCAGCAAATGGAGCGGTCATATGAAGAGGAAGCTGCCTGCTTGTGTATCTTCCATTTGTAAGATCCTAACAACTCTTTTGCTAATTTTTAGGTTAAATCATGTCTTCTTTCTAACTGATTCCTAGAAATTATTTGAAATATCTATATACTTCCCAAATACATTTTCATAAAACAGACATTATAGACATAGCAAATATAAAACATGTTTTATATATAATAAAATGTATTAATTAATTCTAAAGTGATACGATTTATTCTGAAGCATTGATAGTAATGTCTTGATTTGGGCTATTAGTACTAATGTGCTACATTTTCCTGTCTCTTTACTTTTCTATCCTGTTTCTTTATACTTTCAAGATTGAATTTCTTCTAGGGGACATCTTGATTTGTTGCAGTTATTTGTTCTTGTTTTGATTATTTTTTGGGTTGCTGGGGAATTGAACTCCAAACCTCACACATTAACACAAATGAATGGTCTAGTGGTCTTCTACTTAGATGCAACATCCATGCCTTTTAATAAGAACATTGACACTGCTCAGATGTGGTTGGACTGTTTATCTGGTGTCTGCATTTTGGTATGATTTTTCCTTCCATGTCTTTCTTGTTCCTTTCTTAGTTTGGTCAATCCAACCTGTGGGGTAGGGACACAATTTTCAATATTCCATTGTCTTTTGTGGATTTAACAACTATAACTTGGCATGTGGTGGTGAGAGTGGCAATTCAAAACATTTACTAGGAAATATAGGAAAGCAAGGTCATTTGGAAATCATATTGTCTTAAACCGGTATCAAATATGGATTACCACCTAAAAAAGGGTGAAATGGAGAGATTTGTTCTTAAGAACTTTTGCTTTTCAAAATATTGAACAGGAAATAGTTATTTATAACATCCATAAATTTGTGCAACTACAATAGGTTAATCAAAAATTATTTTAAATTATTCAAGAGAGTACATATATTAGATTACCATGTTGTAGTATGTACATATATGCAATTAATCTGCAAACAGTAAAAATAGACAAGTAAAACTGAAAAAATTGTAATTCTAACAGAGAACAAACTGAAAGTCTGCTATTCCTTTGGTGTGAGTGTAAATTGACACATGCAGTTTAGAAGCCTCAAAGGAAGGTACAGTGTAGATGATACTGCTGTTTGGATCTTTGAACTTCCTTTTAACACCTCAGGTGAGATATATTTTATAAAATTGAGCAAAACGAGAACGACATTAAACAATGACTTTCAATAAATTCACAAAGTATCATATGGACATAGTTTTAGGTATATTACAAATAGTGACAATTGCTTGTGTATAATTGATTTTGATGGTAATTCTTACTTACAATCCTATATTTTTTCTGCGGGGGGGTGGAGTTAAGGGGCCTGAACTCTGGGCTTGGGCGCTGTCCCTCAACTCTTCAGCTCAAGGCTAGCGCTCTACCACTTGAGCTACAGCGCCACTTCCCGCTTTTTTGTTTTTGCTTATGTGGAGCTGAGGAATTGAACCTAGGGCCTCAGGCATGCAAGGTAAGCACTCTACCACAGAGCCACCTTCCCAGCCCACAATCCTACATTTTTGTAAAGGACTGATAGCTACAAATTGTCTTAGTGTTACTTTATTCTGGCTGCCAACTCTTCAATTTGTATATGAGTGTTAGTGACACTCAGCCCAGAAGTTTATTGTCAATATGTTAAATTATATAAACTTACAATAGAACACTTACTTCTCACCGTCTTTGAGATTAAGCTTTCAAGTCCAAATCCAGATGTTGAATCTTGACAATAATTGTAATGTCAGAAAGCTTACCTCCAGTTTTTTCCCATCCTGACTTCCTTATTGTAGTAATTCAGTGGATATTTCCTGTCCTCCTGCTGTCAGATCTCCATTCTGGTTCCAAATCCTTTGTTCCCTTCGAAGAGGAGCAGGCCAGGCAACTCCTGAGTTTGGGTCTCTGGGAAGTGGGAGGAGGCTGAGCCCCTATGGTTTGTGCTCAGGAAGGAGTGGGCTGAGGCACACTGTGTCTGACAGCTGGCACACAGGTACAGGGCCGAGTCTCCCTGCTCTGCAGGCTGCATCTTCAAAGTGGAGAAGGAGCCATTGGGCCTCTGTGCAGAGAACCGCTCAACAGGCATCTCAGGTTTTTCTGCAGCAACTTCATACTGGAAGTGAGTCAGGTATTCTAGGCCTTGACC